TTTATTTTAAAGTAATTTTAGTCATTTTATATTTTTCAAATGATAAATGTGTTTTATATACTTTTTGCATATGATTAGTATATTCAAAGTATATTCGAGGAATTGTCTCAAAAGATTTTATTTTACTTAAATATTTTATTAAGTTAGTTTATTTTAGGTATGATTATAATCTTGAATAAATTATTTTATAATTAAGTTAACTATTTTATTTCGTTAAGATCAAGAAGCTCATAAATTAATTATATCAATCTGTCTTACTTAATTACTAGTTGAGATTACCCTTTGACCGACTACATCTCTAATTCCCAATTGGCTACAATTTAAATTTATATGGACAAAGCCTAGTTTTGTCCTTAACCATATTAAGACCAAAGTTTTGGGACCCTTTGCTTAACATTTCCAATAGCCCAAATCCAGACCGACCCACTTTAATTCCAATCAGCCAACTCCTCTTCTCCAATTTCCAATAGACCTAGCCCCACTCTTTCACTCATAACCCGACCCAATTTCTTCAGCAGAGAAACCCATAAACTCTTTTCTCCTCTTTCACGTTAACAACAACAATACACGACGTCTCACAAGGCGACAACAACAACAAATATAAACGCAAGGAAATACAAGCAGTAGCATACGACGCATTCACGCCTTGAAACGACGTCAATGGTACAGCTTTATCCGCGTCTCCCTCAACTCGTACATCAGAAGAAAATATGTTTTTCAGTTCTGCCAGCCGCGTCTCTTCCTTGACTCGCGTGAATGGACGCCACGTCGAGTGTCAAGGACGACCATCGATTAAGATCGTTCACGTCCTTTTCAATTTCGCTGGAAATCGGGATTCTCGTACAAACCATAGCTTTTCCCTATTCTTTGGGAAGAGATTCAAATGGAGATGAGAATTTTGGAATTTCTATTCTACCGTTTTCCCCCTAAATCGAAAACCCTAGACTGCCCCCCTATATATATCCTCCTTCTTCTTCATTACAGGGGTTGGAAAATTTTTAACTAAGGTAGCGAAAATAACTAAAACATCATACTAAATATACTTCAAGAAAAAACATAGGAGATATTTTTTTTTGTGCTTGGGTTTGATATTATATTTTTGCCCAGACTTCTCGGTTACTATTCGTGCTCGAGTTTTCGTGGTGAAGGTTGTCGTTTCGTTCGTTTGGTCTCTGTTTCGCTGCCCCGGAAAAGGTGAGAATCTTGCCTTTATTTCGCTTGTAGCTTTTTCTCTTCTCAACCTTTGTGTATCTACTTCGGTCTCTCAAGTAGTTGTTTTCATTAAGATGTCTTTGTGTCATTTTCGAAGTGATCTAGTGCTTACTTGAATATGTTTTTCTCTATTTATAGTTTGCTTCAATCCTTGGTTGTTGTTCTCGTTTTAAGCTCGACCTATTTATTCGTTGATCACTCTGACTTTGTTCTGTCTCCATCGATTTTGGATCATTTTTCTTGTCTTGTTTATATGTGCTGAAAATGTCGATGAAACTATTCTGTTACTCCTTTGTGTATTTTCAGGCATAGATTAGAAATTCATGCTAATGTAAATAGGCGTATATTTGTTTCACTTTTTATGATCGTTTTATATTTTAGATGATTTCGTTATGAGGCCCATATATTGCTTCTTCCATAGTTCTTGTTCTATCAATGGTATTATGTTTTGTTTGCTGGAATGATATCTGAAAAGAATGCTAAAATGTGTTCCCCCTCTCTTCCCCGTTTTAATGAAGTTGTAAAGATGTTGAAGCTCCTTTCCCGTTCATGTCTGTGAGTTCTTATCTTACTTTATTAATACTGTCTTTGGTGCATGTGAAACTTGTAATTTAATTTTTAGTATCATATGAGTTGTTTGCCATTTTGTTTAATCTTATGAGAGCATAAGGTGTTTATCTTTATTTAATTATTAGGAGTTCACTGATTACTAAGAATGAAAAAAATTGTTTATGTGCATTTATGCTGTAATAATGAGCTAAGTATTTGTTTATTGTGGGTTGTTCTAGAATTTTATTGTTCCCTTAACTTCACATGTTTCGTTTTGGAGTTTAGTCATATTGATTTATGTAATAAGAAGCATGTTTTGACCCTTTTATTTTCTGTGACTTGCTATCACCAGTATGTATCTGCTCCTTGAAGTGTTTGCTATTAAATCGTTATTGGGTGTGTTGGTTTATTCAAAGCTGCGTGATCACAAGTTGATCACAACTTGACTATCCCAAATTGGAAATCTCAATTCTGGCTATAGTATTAGTTGTTTAAGGTCACTGAATGTCATAAAAATATACATTTAAGGCCCTTGGTGATATACATTGTCTTTCACTGTGCTTATATTGAAATAGGGTAGTGCATGAATTCTGTTTTATTTGGGTCTTTTCCTTATATTAGTCATGATTCTTACTTACTGATTTTCACTTTGTGTTTGCATGTAAAATTTGCACGAGTCCTCACAGACTCCGTTTTACTTCTCCTCTTTTTGAGAGAGTCGTCAAGACTCAAAATTCCTTTACCGAGTCAGCTAACTAGCTGTAAAAAATCGGCGAACAGGTCCCGGAGTTGAAAAAATATGAAGCAGATTGGAGAATTGAAAAGATTGGGCCAAAGGCCCACTCTTAGTTCCAGAATTGTATTTTGTTGCTTTTGGGCGTAAGCCCACTCACTTATTATTATTTATGTTAGAAGTTTAGGACAGGTGAAAGAATTGGGCCTAAGGCCCAAAGAAAAAATAATCCTTTTATGTTAGTTTAGGACATGTGCATGTGACTCAAATGGGCCAAGGGCCCAAATCTTCTTTTCCTATCTCATTTATTTGTTATTATGCGTTTTATGTGTTCACTTAATTTTAAGGTTTCAAAAATTCAACTCCCCAAAAGATAACCATTTTGAATTAAAAATTTAAAATTAAATAAACTTCTTTTAATTTCTCTTATTCAAGTAGGCGTATTATCTTAAAAAAACAATTTGCCAAATAGTTAATTATCGGATAATTTCTCTCCTATTTACTACGGCGACGAAGAATCAAATTATCACTATAGTTATTCCTTTTTCTACTTCTTCTTCCAAGTGCAGGATAACCCCAAGGGGTTGTGGGTTTTTTTCTACCAATTGGGGCTCTCCCTTCACCACCCCCATGGAGATGGTCTACAGGGTTCATAACTACTCCTCTTACTACAGGACGCTTACCTAGCCAACGCTTAGATCCGGCTCTACCCAAACTTTTCTGGTTCACCCCAACATTCCCCATTTGTCCGACTGTTGCTGAGCAGTTTTTGGATATCAAACGGACCTCCCCAGAAGGTAATTTTAATATGGCCGTATGTTAGTGGGTATTTCAAGCGCTTTAAAACCCTTCTCGAAATGCTAATATGAACCCCGAACCCATTAAATATTTTCAATTGATTTCTGTTTTGATCTTTTGAAAATAAATAGTTTTCTTAATTCTACTTTAAAATTAAGTGACGACTCTTTAAAATTATCACATTCTTTTAAAACCCAATAAAACACCTATGGCTACGAGGGGCTGGGTGTCCCAGATTGGAATCATGATTGAACATGACGCTTGCTTGGTGGGCTTAGTTAAGAAATAAAGTTGCGTCTTTGCTATAAGCTATAACTTTTGGCATGATGGTAAGCGCTTGATCCTAACAATATTGCTACAACAATATAAGGACATAAAGAGGTTTACATACGATGCTCATTGAAAAGGTTTATGATAAAACCCCGATAGAGGTCCTTTGAATATATTTGGAGTGTAGAGGTGTACTTGTGGCCTACATTGGAGTAATTAAGGATACATACGATAGATCCAAGACTTGGTTAAAATAGTGAGAGGTGACTCAGGATCCCGATCATGATAGGATTGCTTGAGGAATCAATGCTTAACTTGTTTCTATTCATCTTAGTAATGGACAAATTAACACGAAATATTCAAGGGGAGGTATTGTGATATATGTTATTTTCAGGTGGCATATCATTCAATGATGAGACACAGATGGAGTCAACAATAGGCTGAAAGTTTGGATACAAGCTCTAGAGTGCATGTTCAGTAACATATCACATGAGTCGAAGGTGAAAGTGAAGATTGATGCACAATTCGTACCTAAAAGAGAAAATTTCAAGTATTTTGGGTCAATACTTCAAAGAGATGGAGAGATTGATGATGATATCACACATCGTATTGGAACAAAGTGGTTAAAATGGAGGCGCATCTTTGGGGTAATATGCGATAAAAATGTGTTGCTAAGGCTTAAAAATAGTTACAAAGTGATGGTTATACCAACAACATTGTTGTATGAGGCATAGTTCTACTCAGTCACCAATGTCCATGCTCAAAAGATGAAGGTATCAGAATGGAGATGCTCAGATAGATGTGTGGTTATGCTTGGTAAGATATGATTAGGAATGAAGTCATATGAGACAAGATTAGAGTGACCTCTATGGCAGACAATTAGCGACTACACAAGACATAACACAACTTCAACTTACCGAAAACATGACCCCTAGTTATGAATGTTTGGAGAGGTTGAAGATTAGGATAAAAAGTTAGCAAATAGCCAAGTCATGTAGGAAAGGTAGGGGATATCTAGCCTTGTCCTCTCCTCGATCTCCTTATTAGTAATATTATTTAATAGTGGCGTAATTTCATTTTTCAGTATATATTACTATCTATTACTTCATTTGTTTTGTATCCTGCTATTTTTAATGTCATTTTCTTTCTTGCAATCCTTGTTTGAAAAAATTTCCTTTAAATTGAGGGTTTATCGGAACAACTTCTCTACCTCCTATCAAGGTAGATGCAAGATTTGCGTATATCGTATTCTCTTGATATAGTTAAATGTAATCTTAAAATATTTAAAATTTTTGTACTTGATTAAACACGTGAAATAAAAATGAAATTATAGATATCTAAGAAAGAGGACACGGTAGTCAAAATTAGAAGGAGCTGACAACGCACAAAACGGATAAAGCAGTATTTCGCTTTGGTATATATTGCGCGACTAGTTTTGTAAGAGATAGACGCGTAAAGGGTAGGCTGTGATTATTCCGTGTTTGTCTTTTTCAATACGCGCTTTTTCCCCCTTGACTCTCTCCTAACTCTTTTAACTAAAATCCCTCTCTTCTTCCACTTTTTTTTTTTTCCTATTTTCTTCCATCTTCATCTTCTTCTCTCTCTCACACACGCAAAATTCTTCAAGTTTTGAATTCAGATTGTAATTGGACGGGAAAATTATGATGAGATTGTGTTATCGGCCGTTGGAAAGGTGTTTCGGGAGGCGGAGTGGTGATGGACTTTTGTGGCATACGGATTTGAAGCCTCATGCATCCGGTGACTTTTCTATGGCTGTTGTTCAGGCTAATTCATCTCTTGAAGATCAAAGTCAAGTACTTACTTCTCCTTCTGCTACCTATGTTGGTGTTTATGATGGTCATGGAGGTCCTGAAGCTGCGCGTTTTGTTAATAGACATCTCTTTCCTTATTTAAACAGTACGGTATCTTTCTCTTTCTTATTGCGATAATCTGTTGTTAATTAGGTTTTTGTATGTGTACGATCTAGTTTAAAAGAGGTTAGGGAGAGAGAATTGTGATTTTTGTTAGTTTAATTCTGAAATGTTTTGTTGATCAGTTGCGGTGATACTTGAATTTGCCTGATTTTATGTTGAATTTTGTGTACCTCTTTTATCCAGGGTTTATTTTTAGGTCTTTAAAAGTTGTCTCCGTTTTACATTTTAGTATTTTTGGTTTTGTTTTCTGGTTGGAGAGTTCAAACATTGGTGTTTTAGGTTAACATTAGTAGCGTGGTCTATTAAAATGCGCAGTTACTATTCGATCACTACCTCTGTGGTTGATAGATTAGTATTGTTCTTATTTTGCAGTTTATCTAATTTATTTGCTTTCAATTTGGTGTAGAGTTTCAGAAAGAGCAAGGGTGTTTATCATCAGAGGTGATAAAGAGAGCATTTAATGCAACAGAAGAGGATTTTATTCGATTGGTGAAGCAATCATTGCCTTCAATGCCAAAGATTGCTTCAGTTGGATCATGTTGTTTGTTTGGTGCTATTTCGGGAAGTGAATTATATGTAGCTAATTTAGGAGACTCGAGGGCAGTTCTTGGACGCAAAGGTTTTGACGGGGAGAGAAGTAAAGTGGTTGCAGAAAGATTGTCCACTGATCATAATGTTTCATGTGAGGAGGTGCGGAAAGAGGTGGAATCACTTCATCCCGATGATCCATCTATAGTGGTCTATTGTCGAGGAGTTTGGAGAGTTAAAGGCATAATTCAGGTGAGCTTGCTTATTTGGTGCTTACTTTAAACCGAATTTGTCGCCTTTCTTTATGGATGACGTAAGCATTTTTGGTTCAACGCTGTTGTTGTGATAGCTCTAAATAATGTTGATTGTGAACAATCCATTCATTATAAGTGAACTGCGTTTTGGAGTTCTCTAGCTTTCCCTGTTTTCCTGTTTTCCTTTTTGAAAAGTAAAAGCACGACTTACGGGAGCTTGCTTATGAGATTCCCACTTATCTTGGTTATGGGCAAGTCATAGCTGTAATCTCAAAATGTTGTGTTGTTGTCGTTAATGGTTGTCTACCTTATGGTCAATGATTCGCCATTGCTATGGCGTAGCACGTTTAGTTGGATTTTCTTGAAAATATTTTCATTTGTCTTCCTGAGAGTAGCTACAGAGTTCTTTAGTGTGTAGAATTGAACTGAAATTTTGTTCTTTCTGCTTCCTTTTCTGGCCCATGAACTCATTTTGTGTGTAGGATCTTTTAGTTATGTAAATCATGAAAGCTAGTAGTCGAGGTATTATTTGATCCTCTCAATTTCTAGCTCAGCTTAATCCCGGCTGAATCACAGAAGTTGTTGAGTTATTAAATCCGGCAGAAGTGCCCTACTTATTGTTTTCTTCTTAAAAAATGTCCATATTGTTTCATGTACGTAGTATTTGGACGTGGTGTATACCTTGGTGCTTCCCATTTTCCCTTTTATGTTGCTGACTATACCTTCGATTCTTGAGATAGGAAGATTTCATAAGGCAGAGATTTGTGATTTCAGGGAATATTTATCCTCTCCCTTTTTACTTTTTTGGCTATATATTCTAATGATCTTGATTTTATTCTTTATGTGTTTGTAAACGTATGAACATTATCCTGGGAAAGTAAGAGAGAATATCTGCACTTTGTTTGTAGCCTTTTTGTGTCTCTGCTCTTTACTCTAGACTTTGTCATGTGATTGTGGGAGATAGATACTTATACATCGCACTTTACAGGTCTCGAGATCCATTGGAGATGCCTATCTTAAGAGACCGGAGTTAAACAGAGATCCTATCTTTCAAAAATATGGAAATCCTGTTCCTTTGAAGCGGGCTGTAATGACAGCAGAACCTTCCATAGTTACAAGAAAAATTAGAACGCATGACTTATTTGTGATATTTGCTTCTGATGGTCTCTGGGAACAACTAAGTGATGAAGCGGCTGTGGAAATAGTCTTTAAAAACCCAAGAGCTGTAAGTTGACCTTTCTTTTGTTCTTATTTTCTGTTGACAAGTTATGGAAAAATATGTACATTTTGTTGAGCTGCTAAACAGACTTGCGCTTGGCTTTGTAAAGTCTGAATGCAAGTCTGTTTAATCTTAGAGGGGATTAATAATGGCTTTGATGACATTCTTGTTTAAGTCATCTTAGCAAACTAGATACCTGTTTCTCGCTTAGATGTAGAGATAAGATATGGGAGTGGTTCTTGCTATTTCGTTTGTTTGATCCAATAAATATGAGATTTTGTACAATGATGGACTGATCTTTTGGTTGGTGTACTTGCAGGGAATAGCTAAGAGACTGGTGGGAGCAGCACTTAAGGAAGCTGCTAAGAAGAGGGAGATGAGGTACAAGGACATAAAGAAAATAGAGAAGGGGATTAGGCGTCATTTCCACGATGATATATCAGTCATAGTGATCTATCTTGATCACCAGAAGAACTCTTTCCAATCCAAAGGCACCGTTGGCTGTATCTCTCCGCCTGTGGACATATCGTCCTATCATTCAGATGGTGTTGCAGATGAACCAAGTGGTTAGAGTTTCTTAAAACAGGCAACTTATAATGGGTACAGTAGGACTATGGTAGTGAAAATGATATGATGCGTGGAAAGAATGCTGATTATTGTACATAAAATCACAGTTTTGGGTGTCTGGTTGAATGCATTGCCAGCACAAGCTTTCAGTTTAGGAGCTGACCAAACACATTTTTTTCCAAACGGATTCTCCTCTTTTCTTTTTTCCCTTTATTTTTTATATATATAAAAAGATAAATAGTTAAATGGATGTCCATTATTTTGAGTTGAAATATGTTTTTTATTACTTACAATCATCCTAAATTTCTGTGAGACCAGACACTTTGTACATTCCCAGATTTACGTTATACATATTTTCTAAGTATTAAATACTAATAATTTCACGTGCCAATGTTTAAGATTACAAGATTAAAGAACATTTTGTATATTTTACATCTTAGTTTAAGACTATAAGATTCAATAAATCTCATTTAAACTCTATTCCAAGTTTATGTCAGATCAATAAATTGAAATGAAGGAAGTACAATCTAATAATGGAGAAGTTATTTATTTATTTTTTCGATAGTAGAACTAATGAGTGTGAGGGTATTTTTTTATCAATGGTTATTTGTCCGTAGTAAAATCTAACTAAATTTTATGTATTTCTTTTCTTTTCTTCGTCTTTCCCTCAATTCAATCACCTTCTTCCTTCAAATTACTGTTCATTGGTGTTCTCGGTTAGATTTAATATATATATTGTTGTATTGTACGCATAATATATGTAAATGTTTTTACCATATTTGGGGATGCATGTTTCTTTCCTATTTGGTTATATTTTGAAAAATATTAATTAATTGAAAGAAAATCCATTATTTGGAGAGTTTGTGTTCTACAGTCTTTTCAGGTTTTGATCAATATTGGCCGTATGTAGTTATAATTTATGTATTTTTTTTGATCTGGAATAAATTTGTGGTGATTGCTATTAAGCGTATAAGCGCACTTCACTTTGCACGTCATGTATTCGATAAAAGTCCTGTTCATATTTCTAGAACAAATGTCTATTGATTCAAATCCTTAATTTCCCGACAATTAAAAGCGATGTATGTTTTAAAGTGCATGTGCTCAGAGACTTGACAGAGAATAGAGATGCAAACAGTTTCACTTTCGAGAATAAATCAAATTGGTTAGCTTTATTTGTGATATCAGGTAAATTGATTTTCTCTTGGAAATCAATTTTTATTGTAGCATGTAGAAGAAATGTTTGTTGGATTGTTGCTATGTCTGCTACAGTTACAATAGTTGAAGATAGACTATCAAGTATTTGAATTAATGTAGAAAAGAGACATCTATATGATTGAGAGAAGTTGATAATCAAGTTGACGTCAAAAGGTTGGTGATCAAGTGTAATATTGATACATTCAAACTTACCCCTCAATTAAGAAGTATATATGGTCGAAGTCATTAATTATAGAATATAATTCAACTGGAGTTCGTCAACCCATCCGTAGTCCCACGCTTAGACAGTGCTGTCTCCCTTCACTGTTGGTCTTCACGAGCTACTAGACAGATCGTCTTAAGCACCATGGCCCCGTCTAGTGCTCCGTTGACTTCAGTTTTCACTTAGGTAGCTAGTGTTTCCACTGTCACTCTCCACGAGCCATAAGACGGCTCGTCTGGGGCCTCGTGGTGTTAGACTTCAACTCTATTCTTTCCAAATCACTCCCACGAGCATCTTCACGGCTCGTGCAACACTTCACGACTCGTGTAGCCTTTCGTATAGCTTCTTTCACTTCATTTCCCATCTTTCTTCTTGTCCTTTGCATCTAAGTGTTTCACCTGTACAACATAAAAGAAACCATCATATCCACATAAACAAGCTCGACTTCTCACACTAATCCTTAGTTTTGAGCGTCAAATGTTCTATGAGTTCACGACACATCAACAAATGATGATGATGATCATGATTCATGATCCTTATGTAAGTGGTCATGTTTTTGCTGAGTAGTCCGTGCTTGTGAAAAGTAGGAATTATGTCGATCTAGAACAACAAATTTCCTCTAGCTCTGTCATACCTGAGATTATACATGATGATCATCGTGAAACAAAGGGAATAATATCAAATGTATCCTCCTCTGCTGCTTGACAGCCTAAGGAGAAGATGATCATGCAAAAAAATAGCTAGGGGAAGTGTGTTGGCTCTTTAGAGGAGGGTGAAGTGTTCATGCTCCTAATTGAGATTGAACATATCTTAGATTAATAATTAGTATTAGTCGGGTTCGCAAAGCGACGCCCGGAAACCACGGTAAAAAAAAAAAGATTAATAATTAGTATCAAATTCATTTTTAATCTGACATATTTTTATTGATTTTCTAAAGAATATCAGGGCCCGTGGAGTAGAAGTCGAGTTTATTAATGCACAACTATGCACAGAGAGTAGAGTTGGATTTTGCAGGAACTCAAGTGCAAGTGTAAGTCCACGGAATAAGAAATTCAATGGTGTTGGTGTTTCTCTGGCTATTTACCTATTGACAATTGCTAATGTCATATCTTATCATATAATTTAATGCAACTATATTGATTGTATATTTGTGTCATCTTTTTAGACACTCAAATATGATGATTGCTACCTTTTTCTTCAGTGGATCGATCATAAGGATGTAAGTTACCCATGCTCTCCTTCCAATTTAGTACGGATTAACATGGTGTTAATGTATGTATGCTAGATATATAGTAGATGAAAACATATCAATGAAATTTTCAAATTTGTGTGTTATATACCTTATTTGTGCTTATATTATATAATAACCTAAAATAGGAACTAGACAGAATAAATAGCCAACAACAGAAGACATTTAGAGTATATTATAGGGAAAATGCATAAGTACCCCCCAACCTATGCTCGAAATCTCAGAGACACATTTATACTATACTAAGGCCCTATTATGCCCCCCCCCCCCGAACTTATTTTATAAATAATTTTCTACCCCTTTTCGGCTTACGTGGCACTATCTTGTGGGCCAAGTGCGTGTTGATAATTTTTTCAAGGATAGTGCCACGTAGGCCGAAAAGGGATAGAAAATTATTTATAAAATAAGTTCGGGGGGGGGGGGGGGGGGCAATAGGACCTTAGTATAGTATAAGTGTGTCTCTGGGATTTCGGGCATAGATTGGGGGGTACTTGTGCTCTCAGAAGACATTTGGTGCTTCCCATGAAATGATATTTATATCTTCCTTTGGTAAAGGAATTTTTTTCTAGCAATAGATAATGCTTGTAAGATCCTTGGTAAAAGTTATAAATATTATCTTTACTTTCAAACAATTACATATATTACCACTTTTAATATTTTATACCATATATTAATATATTATTTGAAGATACAATTAGATTATTAGATAACCACATACCTTAAAACTAGGATTGATTAATTATCTGCTTAATTAACTCTTTCACTCCGAATCAACCACTATCTCTTAATCCTCCCCTCCCATATTTATCACTCAATTATGTCTCCTCCTTTATGATTCATGAATTTCATCGTACAATTTCATTCTAACAATAGCTAATCTACTCTCTTCTTCTCAAGATATCATCACCATGGCCGACAAATTCTCTTGAACCCAAATATTATACTGTATTGTTCATTTATAACTAGATCAAATCAAAGTAACTGCTACAAAGAAAACTTCAATTCAGAGTGGGTCTTGATTGTTTGTCTCCGGAAGAAATGGATCTTAGTTTTGATTATGTTATGCCACAACGCAAAAGATCAAAGGGAGTATTGTAGAGAGTTTTTGTTTGCTGGTGTTCTTCTAAGGCTTTCTTTGGTTACCGTGACATGGATTTGGTAGTACCAATATTACTTTGATATAGCCCTTGAAACATGTGTATCCAATAAGTAGTAATCTTAATTAAGATCTGAGTTGTATTTTTAGTAATGGGGTGTCTGACCATGTATATGTATCCACCATTAAATTTCGGATACATGATTTTTAACAACACGATGATATTAATGATACGACAGATACTCTACAGTCATGATTTGTTCCTAAATTCATGTGATTCAACTACATTTCATATTTAGATACGCATAATTAAATGTATATGCTTATTATGTATTCAAGATACATGATTTTGGATATAACGTATGAAATTTAAATACACATAATTAGATGTATATGCTTCTTCTTTTTCTATATTCCATATTTAGATACACATAATTAGATGTATATGCTTATTATGTATTCGAGATACGTGTTTTTGGATATAACATATGCAATTGATACTTGATACATCAAATTAGTACTAGATACATATAAAAGATACATGAAATTAATATTATATCTATATATAAATAGATACATAAAATTAATACTAGATACCTATAACAAATACATGAAATTAATGTTAGATACTTCTATGATACATATGAATGTACTTGCAGGACACTCGTGTATCTAAGTGTTTAGTTTGTGGGATACATCATATATTGATATAGATACATCAAATTAGTGAATTTATTATTTTAAGAGTAATAATTTGAAATTAATCAAATTGCATTACCAAGATATACATGTTTTTATCTTAAATTAATAATATTAATGAATTTACTATTTCAAAGAATAATAAAATGAAATTAATTATCTATGTATTTTGAAAATCCTCAATTACTCCTCTAATTAAGGAAATCAGTTCCAATCAATTAATTTAAATAAATAAATTTTGTATCTCAATTTTAAAATTCGACAGAAACTGCATGTATCTCATGGATTCAGACTCATGTATCCTAAGCATAAAATATGGTAAATGAAGTAATATTTGAAACTATTGAGAATCTTAATAATTAAGACTTAAACTAGTGGGATTTATGTGGTTTGCCCAATAAATATTGGACATTTATAAATATTGGGCATGCGCGCACGAGTAATTATCAATTTATATTTATATATGTGAATGCCTAGAAAAGAATATATAATAAGTAGTTAATAATTATTGAAAGTTACCAAATAATTAGCATAGGTAAATTAATAGAAAAAATCACTCTAGCATTCCACTTTATTGTCGTAATTAAAGGTTTGTAACAATCAAAATAATTAAAACTATGTGATTCCTAAAATTTATACTAAACAATGAAATTTCTAATTCGGTTAACTTTTGACTTCACGATTGTTAATGATAGACAACATTGAATTTTTATTGATCATTACTAGTGGTGGCAAATGGGCGGGTTGGTCAAATTTGGGCAGGTTGAAAATGGGTCAACATAAAATGGA